TATCGTGCCTCAGTAAATCCAACCGTGCCGCCTCCAGCGGTAATCCCCGTCATCAGCAACCGTAGTATGACTCAAACACACACCAAACGTTCACAGAATGTTAATATGTATCCATTTTCAGCATGAGCCGGGTCTGGATTTCTTTCCAATTCCAACACTAACATTACTGGGTGCAACTTGTATTTCAAGCGAATGGCATTGCGGTAGCCACCATTTTCTGCCGTTTGTAAAACCAAGGTATGTCACTCCAAACAGAATGTTTGGGACGGAAGATGTCATGACGTTACTACTCTCCGCGTTGATATAGTTTTCTGTCAATAATTAAAGTTTGATGTTTAATGGATTGTTTTGTTATGATGTATGTAAGAGGGACGTTCAATATGTTTTGCAACTTGGGCATTTTTGTTTACACAAACAATGTCAACTTGTGGCAGGTGTGACACCAGTCATTACATCAGGTTGACACGTGTCATAACAAGTTCCAGACACAACAATAAGTTAGATGTGATGGCTTCATTCACTTAAGGGTGGTCACAATCATGGATTCTCTCAAACATGAACAACGCGCTGTAATAAAGATCCTTACAAAGGAGTGATGAAAAACAAAAGAAACCCATGATCGCATGTGTAAAGGGATGGGTAAGGATGCTCCTGACTATTCCACAGTTTGCCGTTGGTCTCTACAGTATAAAAGGGGTAGGGAGTCCATAGACGATGACCCAAGGTCAGGCAGGCCTTCAGATGCCAGCCAGCCGGAACCCATTGCTGCTATAGAAAGAAGAATTTTGTCTGACCGACGAGTGAAAGTATCTGAACTTTCCAGGCAATTCCAAATATCAGTTGGAACTGTTGTAACCATTATTCATGAGCATCTTGGTATGCCCAAGGTATCTGCAAGATGGGTACCTAGAAACCATAGTGTTCTCAATTTATATTCACATGCACTGTATATGTCTCTGTTGTCGTCGAACGTCCTCTTTGGTAGCAAACGTGCATGGCACACGTACCTGCCTAAATTTGCACAGTCAGAGAGGATATGTCTAACTTGTTCGAAGGGCCTATTTGCGTTGATATTTGACATAACAAACAATGTAACCTTTGGGAAAAGAATTGCTACCCATCCAAATCGTCAACGGCAGGCGTACAGATCATCAAGGTCTCAAATAGACACTGCTAAAATAGTCTTTGATATCACGTTATTATTATAGGCGTGAAAATCAACAACACTTCTGCGTCATTACAACGTCACGGATGGTCTTAAATATAGTTATTTTGCAAAATCTGTGAGATAAACAAGCTCATATTTAGCTAGCTCTAGAGTATATAAGATTAAACGGTGAGTCTCCGGTTCATATTCCTTCCGACTGGCATCTACAACTTTCCCAGGTCCAGAACATCTTCATGCCAATTGTAGAGTCTGACTGCATCACAGTATCAAGACAAGCAGAGATGGATGAAATCAGGACCAACAGCACCGATGTCTTGAACGATACTTTCACTGTAACCGTCCTCAGCATGCTACCATGCGATCTGCACTTCCAAACACTGGCTGATATTGAAACCCAATTCAAGTCTGTGTATCAGTTCAGAATACAGCAGCTCCTTCAGGGTCGAGGCATCTACAGCTTGGGGACTATAGGAATCTCGGTGACCTATAATATGGTAACATTTGAACCATCTACCAAACTGGAGATCCTTTCAGCCGGTGATGCTTTTGTTATCCTCACTGACTCATCATCAGTCGAACTAGCAGTAGATCTCCAACGGGACATACAGGAACTAGACTGTGCCAGGGTTAAACCTGCCATTGTTACAACACTTGGAGCGGATCTAAACGTAAAGCTTGAATGTGAGTCAAGTAAAGACCTGGCGTGCCATCCTGAATGCAGAGATTCATGTTTTCTGAGTGACTCATTTGAAACTCTTTTCCGTGCTATCGAGAGAGACGTAGGCTTTATTGTGCCACCCAAGAAAGCAAGAAGTCACTCAAAGCCATCTCGTTTTGTTAAACTGGGGAAAATTATAAAAAAGCGGTTATCTTTGTCTTGAGCTGTATTGCATTTGTGAAGTAGCTCAAAATCGAGAGCTTTTCTTGAAAGACATTCCGAAAATGTTAATATGGACTTTGACCGTTTGAACCCGAAAGCTATGTAGAAAGATGAGAATGTATGTATCTATCTATTGATCCTTACAATAAAGAATTGTTTTCAAGTTGCTCTTCGGGTCCTTTCTCAGGTTTGTCCCAACACATTGAAGCTGTATGGGTTATATTCGCGCTTTTCAAATGACCTGCCAGTTGTGGGGGACCGAGATGAGTGAACGCGGTTTAACACCGCTTTGAAGGTTTAAAGGTAATTTTAGTCAAATGATCCAAGCATGATTTCAACTTCTGCATTCTGTCTTTTCAACGTTTCGGTATAGATGCTATTAAGATGAAATCAATGTCAACGCTAGTCTTCAAAAGTCGTAGACGTTAACCACTTTGGTTAAACCCAAGAGCATTTGTTCAGTGTTAGGTAGGGAGAATATACCTTTCAAAGTTAGTAATTTCCGGTTGAAAAGTATACAAAAAGTAAATCATTAAAATGAGATTGCATGTATCTCGTGAAATATCATGTTTCTGTCTTCTCAGTATCACTCGATGAGAGAAAGATGATATTTCACTCGACACCTCTCTATATAAAGTTTAAATACATATTCAAGGGTGTTCAATTGTCTTATAACAAGAATTAATAACAAAATTTCTTAAAAATTTACAATAACTGTATCGTTTTAAAAGCAAACTTAATGGAGTAGACACACACTGCAAGTCAGTAAAGTGTAAATCATTTTAGGTGAACAACACTTTTAATGCAATCATTAATATAGAGATTGATAATTAGTAAGACTATTATCATTTACTTATTGTATAGTTGTCTACCGGAAATTACTAATGTATAATGGCTCATTTTCAAAGCAAACTGGATGTAGTAGACAAACACTGTGAATCAGTAAAATGTACATCATTTGAGCTGAAATTAGTAAATTAGTAGTTTTCGGTAGACAACTATACACAAAGTAATTAATTAATAGGATATAGCATGTATCTCGTGATAGATCATGTTTCCCTCATCTCGTGACGGGGTCTCTCTTCTCAGACTCACTCGATGAGAGAAACATGATATTTCAATAGACACTGACATATTCAAGGATGTTCAATAGTGTCTTCTAACTACAACTGTTCATATTATAACAATAAAAGAACAGTATTTCTCACTTATTTTCATTTTCAATCTCTATAATAATGATTGTATTAACAGTGTTGTTCACTTATTTTTTAAAAAGCACTTAAAAGAAATCAAAGTTGCTAAATCCTAACAACATCTAATAAATAGAATTACTACTACAGTTGTCTTGCAGTATTGTTAAATGGAAATCAGGATATACTAGCAGGACAGATCATGGTTGTAACTAACTCGTCAACATATGTTACCAAGACAAGAAAAGAAAATACAGACATCTAATGCATCTTTTTATGTTTCATACACATCTTCTCAGGATAGTCTGCATGATTTGTTGTCTGTTGAGACATGTCTGTTATTTACTGCTATCTTAAGAAAGTGAGTGTCAGAATTGTGTTAGAAACGGATGAATGAAGTAACGACCATGATGACTCTTAGCACTAAATGATGGACACAGAGTAATATGGGAAAATATTTAACTTCAAACTATGGTGACTGGTATGTCTGATTGGTTGCCCAGTTGGAAGTTGTTTTATGCTTTTCGTTATTTCATTTTCAATTGTTAAAAAGGCACTGTTCAATGATGTCCGTGAGCTGCAAATGTAGGAGAACATCTCCGATTTCATTACACAGACGTCCAATGAAACGAAATTGTATTTTTTAGATTTAAATGCTGCAATAGTCAAGGACTTGTCGCGGGAAATATGTTACCAAAGACTGCCTCGTTGTTTTCTGGGGCAGAAAATGCCGTGGTAATATACCGTTTTTCATGGCGTTTTGCAGTTACGTTCAATCGTTTAAACTCGTGTTTTGGTTGAAGACTGAACAAATGTTGATATACTAATCAAACAATCACCACAAAGCACGTGCTAGTTTAAATTATTAGAAGTAAACGACCGTTTTTGAATGAAGGTGCAAAAGGGTAACGTTTGAGCTTGGCTCCGTCTCTACATGTCACAAGTTGTCGCAGTGCACATTGATTCAGGAACCAGACCGGAAGCGACAGGTTGGAACGTCTCTATAATCATTTGAAAAGGAGAATTATCACCCTTAGGGAAAAAAAGGATCACCCATTAAGACAAGTATTCGGTTACTTTGATAAAATTTTCATCCACTGAAACGATTTTCCATTTTTCAGTATTTTTATTGAGCTTTTGATAAGACAACTAGTTCACTAGTAAGAAGATAACATTCGAAGCACTCATATTGAAACAAATTGGTCTTTTGGATAACTGAAGTTTAAAAAGATCTATTGAATTGGTCTCCACTATGTCATTTCCTCGATGCTTCTTCACTCAATGTCCAGCTCCAAGGAAGTCGCTTTTAATTTCGATAAAATGTAAAAAATGAGAAGAAACACAGGTCAATGTAGGTCGATGTTCTATCACGATTCTGTCAGTTGCTAAACTTAAACTGTTGCAAAAATACTTTGTGTATGTCATAAACATCTGGGGCGTTAAAATCGACGACTTTCAAAATGGAAATTACGAATTACGAATGGACAGGTGCGATAAACAACGTAAACCAGATGCCATAGCAACCCATACTTCCTGTCATCGACAGTTCCAATACATTGACATGGTAAGGGAAATGATAATTTCCGTCGTTAGACATCTTTCCGAGGCAAGAGAGTTCACTGACTATAAAAGTCCAGTTTCCACCCTTGCTGAACTAGGCTCGTATTATGGAGTTACATTTTGGCTGGACTAACGAGTCTATGCATAGTCAAATCGAAATCGCGCAACGAAATCGAAATCCAGTTCGTTTTCAACAGATATTTTCCAGATCTTTTCATGTTTATTAATCAAGGTGCTCGCGTGATTTGATACACTTCGCGACGTAAGACCCGTTTTATCGCAAAATAGATCTTGGTTATCGATCAAATCGTCTTGACTGTGCGCCGTCATTTTGTTTGAAACAATTGCAATCGATACAAGAGGTGGTATCTGATTGGTCCATAGGAGAGGCTAAGAAGGGCCACATATATCCCAGCGCAACGATCGACCCCAGGAATTCCAGACAAGTTCGGCAAGGATGGAAACTGGGCCTTTAAAGTCAGTTAACTCTCTTGCCTCGGGAAGATGGTCGTTAGATGGAAACCAGACGCGTTTTCTGTACAAACCAAAGCAGAAATGCAAGACAGTGGCCTAAGACTATCTGTAGAAGGTGACAAGGGTCACATGCGTTGTAATAATACTCTTAGTAGATCACGAAAAACAATGAAGAATAAACATTGACAGTCAATTATGGAAGACGAAGCTATATCTAAGATTATCTTCATAAATCCATTTCCTTAATTAATCACTTATATCGCTCCCGATTGCCCCCATACCCTGTGTGGGTGTGATAGGGCGTATGAGGAAAGGTCCAAAGTGATTATCTTCAGTTAAATGCGGTCAAAAGTAACCAAATGCTTGCTTAGAATTTGTATATAGACGCTGGATTCCACTTCGCATAGAATGAATGGTGGACGATCAGCTTTCGTCGCCATTCGAGATGGAAGCCACTGCTTTGTCCATACCTAATTACATCCTTCCATGACAACGTTTCCATAATGTTAACGCCGACATATTAAAGATTTGCAGTTTGCGCGTCAGTGTCCGGCAAGTTCAGTCCAACAGTCGTATAGACATGACGAGACTCTGACTCTGAAACAGCAGTGTATGGACATGAAACATAGCAACATGATGCATCCATCGTCAGCGTCTTTCTACACAATTCTGACAAAAAGGAACCATTCTAGCATTGTCAACACTTCCAAAATAGATTACTTTGCATCAACATTATTTTTACCTGGTACGGTGTCATGGTAGGGTGGCCGTGCTTAAACATGTTGCATCCATGTTCAGCGTATTTCTACACAATTTTAATCTCTATTAAATCTAAATGTGTGATATGTTGCATTTTAGCATTGTTAAAACTTCCAAAAAATATATAGATTACACGACATCGATAATTGTTATTGTTATTTCTACCTGGTACTGGTAGGGTGAGGTGGTTATGTTGTCGTTTCACTTTGATTCTTCTGAATGTCCTGAAACGAATGACAACAATCAACTGATTCACAATGGTGACTACGTCAATTCAATGTAATTTAGGGCAGGCCTTAATATGATTTTCATTGTATCACTTCGGGCGTTCCTCTCACATCAAGCTGAATATAACTGAAATGCTTCACGCACGCACACACGCATACCCATTGTCAAAGATTAGACATTAACGTACATACCTTTTTGATTCCGAGTCTTTCAGTCTTTGATCTGAAACAACCAAAACAAGAACCTGCATTGCATCTCTGTCTGATATAAAAGGAATAAGACGATGCAACATTTATTTCACGAGTGTATATGATCGACTGTGCTGGTTGTATACTGGATTTCATTTTGTGTATATTTGCATTAAATTTGAATAGTGGTTGATTATTTCAGTGACAAGATTAAGTGGCAGTTTTTTTTTTATAAAAGATCTGTGTAAATGGGATATTACCTTCTGTTGTGTTTAGTTTTAGGATGAGGTGGAGGATTTCAATGACGAGAACGAGGATGAGGACAGCTGCAACACTCCCCGCCACAACAACTAGAGTTGGGGTCTGAGCGCTGGATACTGACGTTCTACCCACCGCTGAAACACGGACAAAACATACGTGTATATACTTGAGTTGGATCTGAGAGCTAGTCACTGACATCGATCACATGAACAGGGTAAAGAGGTACAGATGCTCCATGGCACATGAACAGGGTATACAGGTACAGATGCTCCATGACACATGAACAGGGTACATAGGTACAGATGCTCCATGGCACATGAACAAGGTATATAGGTACATATGCTCCATGGCACATGAACAGGGTATACAGGTACAGATGCTCCATGACACATGAACAGGGCATACAGTTACAGATGTGCATTGACACATGAACAAGTTATGCAGGTACAGATGCCCCATGACACATGAACAGGGCATAGAGGTTCAGATGGTCCATAGCACATGAACAGGATATACAGGTTCAGATGCGAATTGACACATGAACAGGGTATACAGGTAGAGATGCTCCATGACACATGAACAGGGTACACAGGGACAGATGCTCCATGGCACATGAACAGGGTATACAGGTACAGATGCTCCATGACACATGAACAGAGAAAACAGGTACAGATGCGCATTGACACATGAACAGGGCATACAGGTAGAGATGCGCATTGACACATGAACAAGGTATACAGGTACAGATGGTCCATGGCACATGAACAGGGTATACACGTACAGATGCGAATTGACACATGAACAGGGTATACAGGTACAGATGCTCCATGGCACATGAACAGAGTATACAGGTACAGATGCTCCATGGCACATGAACAGGGTATACAGGTACAGATGCTCCATGGCACATGAACAGGGTATACAGGTACCGATGCTCCATGGCACATGAACAGGGTATACAGGTACAGATGCGTATTGACACATGAACAGGGTATACAGGTACAGATGCTCCATGACACATGAACAGAATATACAGGTGCAGATGCTCCATGACACATGAGCAGGGTACACAGGTACAGATGCTCCATGGCACATGAACAAGGTATACAGGTACAGATGCCCCATGACACATGAACAGGGTATACAGGTACAGATGGTCCATAGCACATGAACAGGATATACAGGTACAGGTGCGAATTGACACATGAACAGGGTATACAGGTAGAGATGCGCATGACACATGAACAACTTATGCAGGTACAGATGCCCCATGACACATGAACAGGGTATACAGGTACAGATGGTCCATAGCACATGAACAGGATATACAGGTACAGATGCGAATTGACACATGAACAAGGTACACAGGAACAGATGCTCCATGGCACATGAACAGGGTATACAGGTACATATGCTTCATGACACATTAACAGGGCATACAGGTTCAGATGGTCCATGACACATGAACAGGGCATACAGTTACAGATGTGCATTGACACATGAACAGGGTATACAGGTACATATGCTCCATGACACATGAACAAGGTATACAGGTACAGATGCGAATTGACACATGAACAGGGTATACAGGTAGAGATGCGCATTGACACATGTACAGGGTATACACGTACAGATGCGCATTGACACATGAACAGGGTATACAGGTAGAGATGCGCATTGACACATGAACAAGGTATACAGGTACAGATACTCGTTGGCACATGAACAGAGTATACAGGTACAGATGGTCCATGGAAGATGAACAGAATATACAGGTACAGATGCTCCATGGCACATGAACAGGGTATACACGTACAGATGCGCATTGACACATGAACAGGGTATACAGGAACAGATGCTCCATGGCACATGAACAAGGTATACAGGTACATATGCTCCATGGCACATGAACAGGGTATACAGGTAGAGATGCGCATTGACACATGAACAAGGTATACAGGTACAGATGCTCCATGGCACATGAACAAGGTATACAGGTACAGATCTTCCATGGCACATGAACAGAATGTACAGGCACAGATGCTCCATGGCACATGAACATGATATACAGGTACAGATGCGCATTGACACATGAACAAGGTATACAGGTACAGATGCTCTAAGGCACATGAACAAGGTATACAGGTACAGATGCTCCATGGCACATGAACAGAATGTACAGGTACATATGCTCCATGACACATGAGCAGGGTACACAGGTACAGATGCTCCATGGCACATGAACAAGGTATATAGGTACATATGCTCCATGGCACATGAACAGGGTATATAGGTACATATGCTCCATGGCACATGAACAATTTATGCAGGTACAGATGCCCCATGACACATGAACAGGGTATACAGGTACAGATGCTCCATGGCACATGAACAGGGTATACAGGTACAGATGCGTTTTGACACATGAACAGGGTATACAGGTACAGATGCTCCCTGACACATGAACAGAATATACAGGTACAGATGCTCCATGACACATGAGCAGGGTACACAGGTACAGATGCTCCATGGCACATGAACAAGGTATACAGGTACATATGCTCCATGGCACATGAACAAGGTATACAGGTACATATGCTCCATGGCACATGAACAAGGTATACAGGTACAGATGCTCCATGGCACATGAACAGGGTATACAGGTACAGATGCTCCATGACACATGAACAAGGTATACAGGTACATATGCTCCATGGCACATGAACAGGGTATACAGGTACCGATGCTCCATGGCACATGAACAGGGTATACAGGTACAGATGCGTTTTGACACATGAACAGGGTATACAGGTACAGATGCTCCATGACACATGAACAGAATATACAAGTACAGATGCTCCATGACACATGAGCAGTGTACACAGGTACAGATGCTCCATGGCACATGAACAAGGTATACAGGTACATATGCTCCATGGCACATGAACAGGGTATACAGGTACAGATGCTCCATGGCACATGAACAGGGCATACAGGTTCAGATGGTCCATGGCACATGAACAGGATATACAGGTACAGATGCTCCATGGCACATGAACAGGATATACAGGTACAGATGCTCCATGGCACATGAACAGGGTATACAGGTACAGATGCTCCATGGCACATGAACAGGATATACAGGTACAGATGCGAATTGACACATGAACAGGGTATACAGGTACAGATGCGCATTGACACATGAACAAGGTACATAGGAACAGATGCTCCATGGCACATGAACAGGGTATACAGGTACAGATGCTTCATGACACATGAACAGGGCATACAGGTACAGATGCGCATTGACACATGTACAGGGTATACAGGTACAGATACTCCATGGCACATGAACAGAGTGTACAGGTACAGATGCTCCATGGCACATGAACAGAATGTACAGGTACAGATGCTCCATGGCACATGAACAGGGTATACAGGTAGAGATGCGCATTGACACATGAACAAGGTATACAGGTACAGATGCTCCATGGCACATGAACAAGGTATACAGGTACAGATGCTCCATGGCACATGAACAGGGTATACAGGTAGAGATGCTCCATGGCACATGAACATGATATACAGGTACAGATGCTCCATGGCACATGAACAGAGTTTACAGGTAGAGATGCGCATTGGCACATGAACAAGGTATACAGGTACAGATGCGCATTGACACATGAACAGGGTATACAGGTACAGATGCTCCATGGCACATGAAGAAGGTATGCAGGTAGAGATGCTCCATGGCACATGAACAGGGTATACAGGTACATATGCTTCATGACACATTAACAGGGCATACAGGTTCAGATGGTCCATGACACATGAACAGGGCATACAGTTACAGATGTGCATTGACACATGAACAGGGTATACAGGTACATATGCTCCATGACACATGAACAAGGTATACAGGTACAGATGCGAATTGATACATGAACAGGGTATACAGGTAGACATGCGCATTGACACATGTACAGGGTATACACGTACAGATGCGCATTGACACATGAACAGGGTATACAGGTAGAGATGCGCATTGACACATGAACAAGGTATACAGGTACAGATACTCGTTGGCACATGAACAGAGTATACAGGTACAGATGGTCCATGGAAGATGAACAGAATATAGAGGTACAGATGCTCCATGGCACATGAACAGGGTATACACGTACAGATGCGCATTGACACATGAACAGGGTATACAGGTACAGATGCTCCATGGCACATGAACAAGGTATACAGGTACATATGCTCCATGGCACATGAACAGGGTATACAGGTAGAGATGCGCATTGACACATGAACAAGGTATACAGGTACAGATGCTCCATGGCACATGAACAAGGTATACAGGTACAGATCTTCCATGGCACATGAACAGAATGTACAGGCACAGATGCTCCATGGCACATGAACATGATATACAGGTACAGATGCGCATTGACACATGAACAAGGTATACAGGTACAGATGCTCCAAGGCACATGAACAAGGTATACAGGTACAGATGCTCCATGGCACATGAACAGAATGTACAGGTACATATGCTCCATGACACATGAGCAGGGTACACAGGTACAGATGCTCCATGGCACATGAACAAGGTATATAGGTACATATGCTCCATGGCACATGAACAGGGTATATAGGTACATATGCTCCATGGCACATGAACAATTTATGCAGGTACAGATGCCCCATGACACATGAACAGGGTATACAGGTACAGATGCTCCATGGCACATGAACAGGGTATACATGTACAGATGCGTTTTGACACATGAACAGGGTATACAGGTACAGATGCTCCATGACACATGAACAGAATATACAGGTACAGATGCTCAATGACACATGAGCAGGGTACACAGGTACAGATGCTCCATGGCACATGAACAAGGTATACAGGTACATATGCTCCATGGCACATGAACAAGGTATACAGGTACATATGCTCCATGGCACATGAACAAGGTATACAGGTACAGATGCTCCATGGCACATGAACAGGGTATACAGGTACAGATGCTCCATGACACATGAACAAGGTATACAGGTACATATGCTCCATGGCACATGAACAGGGTATACAGGTACCGATGCTCCATGGCACTTGAACAGG